TTGTATCTCATGATTTGTCATATTAGCGATTGTCACCACGTGTCTTTTGTACAAGACGATCCCAATAATATAGCGCAAGCTTTCCCAGTCACTTTAGCGCACAGCTTTACAGGTTCAAAAGATTCTCCTTCGGATATAAGCCAATCAACGCGACAGCCCAATTGGTTGAATACTTCGTCAAAGAAAGGAACTCCCGCTAAAACGCCCTGATTAACGAATAGAATGCGATTTGCGATTTGAAAAAATTAGTATGCGAGATTGACAAGCACATCCCGGGAAATGAAAACAATACAATCGTACGGTATGCGTATGGGAACACGTTTACGGTAAAGTTCGGATAATCATACTTTCTCTACGACGTCAAAATTAGTCAACAGTAACTTACTGGAGACTTTCCATATAACATAGCAACTTCCGGTGTATCGCCAACGACGTATCCACCATAATCAAAACAAGGAGCGTCTTGAGCTAACCAAGCTTTAATGTCTTCCTTAAAGTGTGGTGGAAGTAACTTTGCGTATTGGGAAGGCATCGCATCAGAGTTGAGAAAAATTGGGGTAAATTTTTGGGATCGTCTTGTACAAAAGACACGTGGTGACAATCGCTAATATGACAAATCATGAGATACAAAAGTGGAATAACAGCTTTTTTCTAATGATATATCAGAAAAGAATGTTTTCACGACGTAACTCTGAATTATAATTTGTCTCCCGAAAGCAAAAATCAGGTGAAATCTTTGCTGATCCCCGCGATGCTGAGAGGAAGTTTGAATTCGATTCATTCACGGCGGAAATCATCGGCATTTCCCTCGCATTACTTTTCTCTCTTTTCAAAGAGATTATTCTCAAATATGGAATCAAAAGGTGTAATTTACACATCCATGTTTAACAAGGTATAACATAATACTGCTCAATTTAACACCATGTCATAAACTCAATAATCTTGTACATTCTCAATTCATAGCCACTTAGCTCACTATAACTTATTCATTTAGCTGTCAACCCTCTCACCGACGAATCTTCAAATAATAAACGAATCTCATCTCCATGCCCATCATCAAGCTATGCAAGGAGTTTCAAGTAAAGAGACACATTTTAGGTAGATATCCATCATGTTTGGTCAAGCTTCTTGGCTGTTATGTGATGTTCTAATTTTTGTAAATTCTACTTTCCCCAGGATTGAGATAGTATCTAAAGATTTCGAAGGAAAATCCTTGATACAAAGACACAGGTTGATATATCAGCTTCTGGATGACGAGTTAAAAAATGGCGTTCATGCATTATCAATAAAAGCCAAAACACCTGAAGAAATTGGTGAATAGTGTGAGATGGAATCGTGTAATCAGTATATTAGATAGCCTGTAATTTACATCTGCAGTTTATTCTTAGAAATGTTAGATCTGGACTGTTAATTGCTGAGAACTCGAACATGAGAGTATCAATAAAGGTTCGCTACGAGTTCAGTTTGTCAACATTGACAAAGTAGCGAATTATTGGTAAATCACTGTTCCCGGGCTGATAAAACGGTGGTTGCAAGGATTCGAGAGAATCAAGTATATGGATTTAAATAATTTACAAAGATCAATGCTCGAGTGAATTAAAAAAACAAGGTTTGCAGCTTGTATAATATTATCGGTCAGCTAATTACCAATATTCACACAATTAATAACGCGACATTAATTTAGCATTCGGGAAAATTGCCGCAAAAAAGTCTGCTTTTGCATTATTATTGACTTGCGGCATAACCAAGTGTAACATTATTACAGTCTTTTAGCAATCCCTATCGTCCTCTAATAACTCCTACCGAACAAACAATATCGTTTAGCATCGCTACCACACGCCACGCATTTTGTCTCTCCAACGACAATTGGCGGGTTCTTTGGTTGATCAAACGGAATACACAAAGATTTTGCTCCCATAGATGGCGCACGTTCATCTTCAGGCTCGTCTTGAGTCGCCCTACACAGGATGCAAAAATTTTTTACGGTCAGTCAGATCATTCACTGTTTCCCTTGCTCATCCCTGCCTTTTTCACTCACTTTCTTGCACTGTTTTCCTTTATCTGATCCTCGCATTGCTCAGTTTCACACCACGGAATCAGTACAAAGTTTTTGGCATCCAGCATTGGAACAAAATCGTCCCATTTTAAAACTATCTTGACGTGCTCATCATATGTTTTCTTGGCCCTTTCAAACATTTCACGTTGAATAGTATTTAAAAGTTCGGGGACGCGGGTAGTAAGCTCGGACAAAGGAATTGGTTTTTTCTCAAAAGTGTCGCGACGGATTCCCATTACTTGATTTGAGGATACATCCCGAGGACCTATCTCCAAGCGTAGGGGAATACCCTAATTGAAACAGATAAATGTAAATCAGCATATACGTAAAATTCAGTCGCGTATAATGTCGATGCATTGGAAAAGCCCATGCATATGCCATGTTCTTTTCCGACGTCAACTTGTTAAAAAACATACCCTTAACTCCCAATGATTATATTTATATGCCGGAGTGTAATTATCTCTCAAATCCGCCTTGACTTTGACTCCAACCGACTTCAATTCTGTCAAAACTTCCTGGATTTTATCTTCAACTTTCTTTCTATCCTCCTCTTTAGATTTTGCAGTCAAACCGCATGGAATGACCACGACTTGTAAATTTGCCACGCGCGGTGGCAACACCAATCCTTTGTTGTCTCCATGAGTCATTACCATAACACCGATCGTACGCGTCGTTAATCCCCACGAGTTTTGCCATACGTGGATTTTCTTTGCGGTCCCATCCGTGACCGACGGGTCTTCAATAACGATATCAAACATTTTTGCGAAATTTTGACCAAGACAATGTGAAGTGGCTGCTTGGATTCCACGACCTGTAGTAGGAATAAAGCCCTCAATAGTGGTGGTGTAGAGGCCTCCGGCAAATTTTTCTTTTTCAGATTTAACGCCTTTGATTACGGGCACTGCAAGAAGATCTTCGTACACCTGACGATACAGTTCGAGAATATCGCGCACTTCGACATCAGCCTCTTCCTTGGTAAGATGAGCTGTGTGACCCTCTTGCCAGAGAAATTCTCGTGTACGTAGGAAAGGTTCTATTTAAAAAAAATATCATGGTAGTATACGTTTATTAGACAAGACTAGCGACTAGTATAAAATGTTATATTGAAAGGACATTGTTAATGACTGCGCATCCGCAGAAAGCAGTTTTTCGAGGGGAAAAAAAAAAAGATACTTGCGAGGATTTTTGAATTCCCATCGAACAACATTACACCACTGATTGAGTTTCAATGGCAAATCGCGATGGCTTCGAATCCATTTTGCAAAGTATGGATACATTACAGTCTCTGACGTTGGCCTAATGGCAATGGGTTCCTCCAAGTTGGAAGAGCCACTTGTATGAACACGCAAGTATTAGACACGATCAAATCACGATATTAAAAAAAAAAAAAACCAACAAAAACAACAAACGAATACCTACGCTTTGGTGACCCATGCAACCTCGGGGGCAAAACCTTCAATGTGCGCCTTTTCTTTCTCCAGTACTCGTTGCGATACAAACATGGGGAAATATGCATCTTCGACGCCAAGTTTTTTTATTTCCGCATCAAAGAATTCTGTAAAAACGCAGATTGTGCGTTAAAACTCGTAACTTTTGGATCCGCTCACACTAACCGGCATTTTAGGTATAGTTTCAAACAACTCACTTTCGATCTCCTGCCAGATATTGTACGCTAGTGGCCTAATAACATAACAGCCAGAGATATCATAGTATTCAAGCATGTCCGAGCGTGTCAATACCTTTTAAAAGAGATATATAGGCATGATATGAAGTAAGATTAGAATGACAACGTTGAGGTGCTAAATAGTATGTATAACTCAGTCACCTGTTGATACCATGTGGAAAAATCCTTTTCCTTTTGCACTTCGATCCCAGTCTTGGACATCTTGGAAATGGAAGTTTCTTAGACAATAAATAGCTTGCTATAGTCGAGATTATCTATAGTGAGGTCTGCTATACCCAAATCTGCTTTTTATAATATATTCGTCTATAGTGCATGCGAACTTCCCGCCGCAAGTCCAAAAAATGAAATTTCACGTCTTTCCGCATTTCTATAATAACCGTCACGTGAGAAACCCGCCAATTGTAATTCAAATATTCGTTGTGAATAAAAGTTGCTCGGATATACCCGTTTATTGCGATGACGAGCCCCCAACCAGTTCATTAATTTGCCTCGTATGATGATAACTAATACAGAAAGTGTTGTGACGTATATCAGGGTTTGATATACTGTATATACAGTGCTGTGCAAAAGTAATGAGAATTACTAATTAGCTGACAGCTCAACAACTAACAGCTGGATTTATTTGAAAT